TTTTTACAGTTTGCGTGCATTTTATTAAGTTTGCTGGCTTTTTGTTAAGTTTGTCCGCAAATTATTAAGTTTGCATGTGTTTTGTGTAAATAACGTACGTAATTTGTCCATGCCGGCCATGGTACATCACTCCTGGGTCTACATATTACGATATTTTTATCACTTAGTCACACAATATTCACTTCCGTTCTACCTATCACGTGGTAACAAATCATGTGACATAATTGCCAGTTCCACATCTCTTTCTCTTGCAAATCATCTGGCGGGACGGTTCAGCAGTTTGCGATATTTGTTGTCGATTGACGACACTCTGTATCAGCTTCAGTAGTCTGTCTGGCACGTCTGTCTTACGCATACAAAGAACTTGATTACGCTGTTATATCAAAAGCATGACAGGCTATGTGTCTGTTTCGTCCAGGACGTCTGAAGCGGTCCTTGTAAGGTAAGCCATCAACGCGTTGGTTTGTGCGGTCTGGCTGACCTGGATGACTAGATGGTTTGAATAAACTTAGCATTCATTTATAGTATGGATCTTGACCTACTCTGAAAAAAAATAATTCACAGATTATCAATATTCTAAATTTTTCCTTCTATCCGCTTCCTAATTTCAAGTATCGGATATTCAATGCGCGACTGTTCAATTTCGTCGATTTACTGACAAACGCTTTCCGCCCTTGTAACTCCACAGGCACTTGGTTAGTTGATGTTTCTAGAATTTCAAAATAATCACTCGAAATGAAAAGCTCGACTGATACAAATGTCGAGGCCTTCCTCACTAAATTAAATTTTTCCGCTTTTGCATTTCTGATTGCAAGAAACAGCTATATCGGTGCCCGATCATTTTGATATTTGGCAAGATTTCCGTATAACCCCATACTTCATTTTGCATTTCTTGGATAAAGGAAAGCAGAGGCAAAAAAACAGATTTCCTTTGGGACTACGTCTTTGTTTTTGATTGGTATGGAGTTATACGGAAATCTTTCCAAGTTATCATTACTATCAAAAAGTTCAATTACATTAAAAAGAGTAGGTCTGCAGGGCATACATTTTTCCCCCAGAGCTATGCGGTGCACAGCAATACAAATGCAACTGAGTAAGAAACAAAAATTTGAAAGTGCAACAAGTGTTCCAGTAGTCTTTTTCAATTAATAAGTTTACAGACTATATGAAAATGAAAGACAAACCAAAAGAACAGAAATAATTAATAAAAAAAAATCAAATCAAAATAAACAAATCAAAATGAAGTGTGATACCCCAGATAACTTCCTTGAATCATTTCTATTGGGTCTAAATCAGAATATGGTCAGACAGTCCTGCTTACAGCTAATCTTAAGTGTTAAAATATTGTTACTTTTGAAAGTGATGAGGAAAAAGAAAACTAAGTTAAAAAAATGTGAGGCTGGGAAAGTGGGAGCCTTAGTAAGAACTATCACTGGAGCATAGACAATACAAAAGCACAAAAACAGAATGTAACATTGTTTCTATTTCTAGTTCTTATGTAACATGATTATGTTTGCCATTGCTATTAATAGACCCTCAGCTTGGCAGCAGTTCACAGATTTTGCAAATGTTCTGAAAGCTTTTATAGGAACAAGCTATCTGTCATTACCATTTGCCTTTTCTCAAAGTGGACTAGTGGTGAGTCAATTTAAAATGTCTTTTAACCCTTTTGTGACCTTAATGTGTGGTTCTAAGAAGAAATTAGATGCTAGTCGCTCTTCAGGTGAAAGGGTTATAATACGTTGTATTTTCTTTAATCATAGGTTGATGCTTGAACCATCAGCTTTTCAAAATTCACTTTAACCACAGTCTACTCATTCAATCAAATTTAAGTTACCGTAAAAGCCTGCGGATAAGCCACACCTGGAGAGAAGCCGCATCAAATTTAGCAGCTCAAATTTTGTTAAAAAGGTTTTTTGATAGAAATCAAAGGAAATCCAAAGTCGAGTCTTGAGAAGTCTAGTTCATCCACTGTTCATTGAACATAAACTCATCCTTAACATTGCAACGGAAAATACTTCAAAGTGTTACCTACAATTTTAGCATTTTAAGATAATGAACATCATTTCTACCAACTTTGATGTATGATTGGTCTTTTTCTGGTATTTATTGACAGGAATTTCTTCATTCAACACGGTTTTTCCATAGATTTTTGCATGAGAACAAGAATGTGAGCAGAACATTTGAAGCTTAGGAACCAGGCATTAGATGGGCCAAGAAAATGGACATTCACGACACCTTTTTCAAATGTTCCTGCAGATAAGCTGCGCCCCCATTTTCTAGCAAAGATTTCGGGAAAAAAGTGTGGCTTATCTGCGGGCTGTTATGGTAGTAACTAATTTTTTTTTCACCTGCTGTAGACTCATCAACATTTTTTTTTTAGAAACTCTATGTACTACAACGAATCCAAATATGGCATCCAAATTTGAATTACCATTGTTCTGGACTTACTAGCCTCATCTTCATGTGGAAACACAAAAGGATTATCATGTGTGTGAGAGGCTAGTAAGTCCAGAACAGTGGCAATTCATGCCATATTTCGATTCGGTGTATAACTTAGAAAATTCTGTCTATAAAATTTTATAGGGTAAGGTTAAGTTCATGTTTTTTTGGTGTGAAATAACTGCATGGGGCTATCAAGTGTTAATTGTTACAAGTCAGAATTCTGATTTCTTAGTATTGCTGTTTAATTACAGCTTGGAGCGGTTGGACTTGTAATCATTGCCTTCATAACAGACCACTGTTGTCAACTTATAATTAAATGCAAAAATGCTGCAGTGGGAATGATTCTTAACTCATCTCCAAGATACCAAGAACTCCGAACAGAAGCTTTGTATGAGGAGATGGAAAAAGTAAAGGAGACTATAGAGAAGGAAATGACACTTGGTGACATTGGAAAAATTGCAGTTGGACCATGGGGATTGAGACTGGTCAACACCGCATTGATAATCACACAGTTAGGGTTCTGCGTTGCTTATTTCATATTCATGGGAAATACCATAGCAGAAATGTTTCCTCTCAAATACAAATCTGAGACTGTGATCCCAGTCATAAATACAACATTATCTGAACCAACTAGTGCCACAAGAATGACCCACTCCTCAGCGGCAGGGATTAACTCGTCTACAATGGTTCCTCCACTCCATAGCACTAAGACAGCACCTCAATTCTTCCTTCTTGTACTGATTCCTTTCCCTTTCCTCATTGCTATGGCCTTTGTAAGGAGCATTCGAAAACTTGGACCAATCAGTGGTGTTGCTAATGTGACTCTACTTTCTGGGTTTTTTGGGCTTCTTGCATTTCTGTTGAAGGGTAAGTCCTAATCATGTACCTCAATTAACAGCAATAAAAGGTAAAGTCTGTTTTATTATGACCCAAGTGGCCCATCAGGCCAGCACTTAACTCCGGTTTCTGCAGCATAAAGGGGCTAGGAGTATTTCTACTCCTCCCTGGGTGGGATGCTGGTACATTGCAGGGTTACCCACCCATTTAAACACCTGGGTCCGGTTGTTTAAAGCTGGTTTAAGATAACCCAGGATTAGTGTGAAATTTGATTTCAGATCTGAAAACTTTAAGAGAAAGTTAGTTTAATTATTTTCTGTCTACAGTTTGATGATTGCATGCTCTAAAGAGAACGGGGAAAATTATATCAGAAAGTTTCTTGAATAGAGAAATAAGGAAACCTGAGTCAAAATTTAATCCTGGGTTAGTGCTAATTGGCCCTCGAACAATTCATCATCATCGTCATCTTTAATAGTAACATCCTCGTGAGGTTTTTCAGAAACTATTTACAAACTTTTTACAATTTATAAAAACATAAATAACAATAAAACTCATGGTCAGAAATAGAATTCCACCAAGTTCTAGAGCTTATAAAGGAAATGTCTGCCTCAATCGTGTGTCTTGCAGAGCGCGCTTGAAAGATGCCAATGAGGCATTTGCCTAAGTTCTTTATGCAAGTTATTCCATATATTGGCCCCTCTATAGGAAAAAGTGCGCAGGCCAGTAGCCGTTCTGTATAGCGGAATCTGCAAAGAGTTCCGCATACGAGTGTTACGAGTATGTATATTTGATCGCTTGGTAAACTTACCCATTAAGTATTGAGGCGCAAGACCGTTCTGACATTTAAAGGTCAGAACGGAGTCTCAGTTGGACCCTGAATAAAGAGAGGCACTGTGAGAGTAAACTTCCTTGCCTAAGAATGCAACACAATCTCCCCGGCCAGGGCTCAAACACAGACCACTCAATCTGGAGCTGAGCACGCTAACCATGGGGCCACCACACATCCAGGTTAATGACAATACTGTTAATGAAAATTATACTGTTAATGAAAATACTGTGAATGAAAATACTGTCAATGACAATACTGTTAATGAAAATACTGTCAGAATCTTTTGTGAATGACAAGCTAGAGAGCCAAGCTTTGTGTGGCCACCTAGACTGATTCTGCTCATTACTTCCACATTAATCTTGATGTTGTGTGAAAGCATACCTATACATGTAAATCAATATAAATTTTAGTACCAAAAAAGATATCTTATCATATTTTCATCGGATGTGGTAGGTTTGAGGTTTAACCTTAAAGACGTGAGCTATGCGAGATTGTCTACGTTTCCAGTTTTCTTTGGTCAGCTGACGGGAGCTTATGAAGGGATAGGAACTGTGAGTGTTGAATTTTTATGCTCAGAAATATGCCTTTCAACAAAAAAATTGGACTTGTTCCATTATAATACACCAAATGCAAATATGGCTTCCAGTTTAAATTGCCACTGATCTGGACTCACTAGCTTCCCACACATGTGATAATCCTTTTGTTTCCATGTGAAGGTGGCAATTCAAATTGGATGCCATATTTGCATTTGGTGTATAGAGCTCAACTTCAATCATTTTCGTTTTGCATCAATAACTGTCATAATTTGAGGGAAATTTGGAATCTGCCTCACCACTCAGTTGATCAGGATATCTCAGTATTTAACATCACAGGTTCATGTCTTGTTAATTCCTGAATTCTTTTCAAGCTAGTTTGGTTCTTTTAATTTTCTAATTGCCTTATTCCTTAGGGTATTCATAAACAAATACAGATCAGGAGAAAATTATCAAGTAACAGAGGAAAATGTCCTCTGCATCTCAATTAAAATTAGATCAAGCCATTGACATTTAGCCAAAGAATTCTGCATAATGGCATGAGAAGTCTGCAATATCCAATGTATGATGAATGCCTTGAACTCTTTGAGTCAGTCAGAATTATGCTGTCGAATTAAATTGTCTTGTTATTTGTAGGTAATACCTATTGAGTCTAGCATGGCAGAGAACCGGCCTCGTTTCCCCCTGTACCTTCACATAGCACTAGCACAAGTCTCTTTCATTCTTGGTTCTTTTGGAGTACTTGGATACATGATCTATGGCAGCACTGTTCCGCAGATAGTAACAGATAGGCTGCAGACAGGGGTCATAGCACAGTTGGTGCGTCTGACACTCATTGTAGCGGTGATGATGACCTATCCTCTTCAGCTATACCCAGTCATTGAAATTACAGAGTCGGTTTTATTCACTAAGGTCCAATCCAAAAAGAAATCTCACCTGGGTGAAGTAGTTGCAGGTCCAAGCACTGATCCAAGTAGCAACCCAGCTTCTCTCACAGATTCTAATGGTGTTGACTCACCAGATGTTTTGTCCTCAAGTATATACTCTGAGACTCAATTTCTTATTCCAAAGGAGGCTGAAGAACTTCAGTACGAGGTGCAGTAGCCTTCACATGTGACAAATTATAGCGGTTTTGTTTTTGAACAAGTTTTCAAATAGGCATGGTTCAACATGCTTTGTTTGTTTTCAGTGCAGAAAGTTTGTTTTGTTGGCTTAGTTTTGTATGTTAAAAGCCTGTGCTTTTGAAAAATATCATGTAACATTGATGCACTTAGTCATTATATAGAACTAACTGTTCAAACTCAACTTGAAGCTGATATCAAGTCTTGTACCTAGGCAAAGGGGGGGGAGGCTGAACTGGGACATTTGAGGGTAATGTACTGGCCAAGAAAGTCAGAGGGAATAAAAAGACTGCAAAGAGTGCTGATACACTATTATCCAAAAACAGAATCCCCCCCTTCACAACTATACAAAAGTTAACTTCCTGACAAATATTTTGCTTTAATAACCATAATAATAATAATAATAATAATAATAATAATAGTATGATTATTATTATCAAACTTTCAATGGAAAAGACCATACCATGTGTATTACAATCTCACATCTTAACCACAGTAACCTGTCACAATCATGTAAGGCATGTTTGGAACACTAATTTCAAACTAACAATTGAATAGCTGTTTTCAAAAAAATGTTTTAACAGCGTTAAACTTCTTTTGTTTCTCAGACAGCAGCTTGGAAGAGGAATTTACTACGTACAGTGCTAGTAACTTTAACAGCAGGGATAGCCATTTTACTGAAGGATGAATTTGCCTATGTGAATGCTCTGATTGGCTCATTAGGAAGTTCAGTGTTGGCTTACATTCTGCCTTGCACATTTCACATCATCCTATACAAAAACACCAATTCTGTAGCTGTGGTTATTAAGAACATTATTATTGTTGTATTTGGTATAGTTGGTGGAGTTGTGGGTGTGGTTATTACCATTCAAAACATAGTCAAAGATTTATCTTAGTAAATTAAAACATGCCTTTAACCATGCAGCCTTTCAAGGTGCCACTATTTTGGTCTTTTTGGTGTGGGGAGAATTTTTCACAGCTAAATTTAAGTGAAGTGGCAGATTTGGCAAGCTGAGTCTGACAGATATTGAGAAGCTGTAAAATTTTCTCCCAGTACTGTTTATGATCAGGATGCATTTGTTGTCTTAAATCATAACATGGTTGCTAGAGACAAAATTTTGGTCACTAGAAAAAGAAATTGCATAGTAGTTGTACACTGTACACAACAGTTGCTGTTGTTGGGAGTGAGCAACTGTTTGGAAAGCTATACTGAGTGAGAACTGCTGAGGAAGGTTGTCGATTTTGAGGAATTTTGAAGAAAACAGTGAGTTTGTGCAGTGTTGAGCCACTATGTAGTTTGTAGAGGGCTTAGATAAGTTATTCAGATGATAATTGCTGTATTGTCTATTAGAGTTGCCCCTAAGTAAGAATATTACAGGTCATTTAATGAAGTAGTTGAGTTTGTAGGATTGTAAGGGTTTTCTGCATTTGAATTATAGCATAACATTCTGATGGAAATTTGGATACGACCTAGTACAGAATTTTTTTCTAAGAGATTAGTACACAAGCCTTAAAATGATCTACTTCAATTTGCAATTGTTATGGACAAGATTTATTACTTATCTTATACTTTCAACAGTTTCCTTTAAAAACGATTAAAGTGAACATAACCAGGTTTACCTAGATTTTTTAACAAATTTATCTAACTATTTTTATTTACACCTTGAAAGTGTAGTTTATTTTACAATAAAATTAATTATACACAATCTTACTTGACAGGCTTAGCAATAACACTAAGGTTGAGCACATATTCTCTCTATGAAAATTTACTCTATCCCCTCTAATTATTTTATATTCTTTTGATTCTTAAAACTGCCTTTCAGTATTTCTTGAAGGGAAAACAAGAGCTGTTACATTATATTTTAAGACAAATCGAGTGCTTGTCTCGAGGGCAACTGAATTTGCTACATATTTTATGTAACATGTTTTTTAAAATACAAGCCAGGAAGTTTAAGGTGCAGTTTAACAAAGAATATAGTTTATAAATCAAGTTATAGAGTTGAAAACTTGGTGGTTGCAGGGTTGTGGTCTAGCAGCACCCAGTGGCCCCTGGCACCTTACTTTTGCTCTTGGGCGACTTGGGAATCTTAGTTTTTTTTCATAAAAAGCATATGCTGGGCACCCTGGATTTCACAGTTTCAAAGCACTGGGCTCCCTTCAATTTTTCTTAGAGCACAGCCTTGGTTTGTCATGTTGTATTTAAGCAATCTCTATTCAATATTCAATTTCTGTTACATTCGCAACTGCCATTCTACGCCTTGTGAGCAATTCAGGAACTCAGTAACCAGCAGTTTCATTAACTCTTCACAACCCAACATTAGTATGCATATTCTTCATACTGTTCTCTAAGCAATTTCCTAGGTGCTGACATGCTTCTGTTGTTGTTGTTGATTATTTTCATTACTCTCATGACCTTAATGTGTGATTCAAGGGTGATATTGTAAGGAGATATTGGAAGCTAGTCACTCTCCAATGGTGTGATTGGCAGCTGTGCATAGAAAAGGAGTCATTTGGAGAAACTCAAATATGAGAGCCTACTTGCAGGCTAAGCAGACCACAGTACATTGAATATTGTATAGAAAGGGCACAATATGAATAAGGAATTCATTCATTCAGTACAAGGTCTTAATGTAGACTCCTCGTAACTAGCTTTCACCAAAACCCCTGAGTAACCCTCTTTCTGCAGATATAAATTTTCTACAAATGATTTTTATTTTTGGAAAGCGAATTTTGTTTGCATACCATGAAACCTAACGGGATGGAAATCCATACAGTGTTATGCACACTCCTGAGGCATTTTCTAGGGGAAAGATGATCTATAGCATTCTTATACTGACAGTAACTACTGAATAGAGGTGTAAGATTTTGTTCATTTTTTTCTTAAAATGTGGTTTAAAAGGAGTTCTAAAGCATTATCAGAAAATGAACAACTTAGTTAAAGAAAGGTACAATATGTGGTTCATTATTTCCCTTATATGTTGTACACATAGAGGCTATTTTCAATTGTTTACTTGTTTAAAAACTATCTACAGGTTCTAAATGACAGTCTCGGAAGAACTGATGTCTTTGACAAACAAATGAATCCTTTTTGGGAGCAAAAAAAGAAGTTATGGAAGCAGTTCCTGGAGGTGGTGAATCTTCATCATTGTCCGCATCATCCCTGAAAATGTGATATAAATATACCAAAAATCTATTTTAAAAAGGTTACAATGGAAAACAGAATATCAAGGAAAGTCTCTCTTCATCTTCTTGAGGTTAACATGAGCTCTTTTTTTGTCACATAACACTAGATATGCTCTGTATGAAGCAAAAACGAGCCTGAAGAGCTGATTTAAAACATTGGTTTTCAAATTTCCTATACTACAGAGTCCCCACATGAGCTTACCTGCAGGATTTTTTCCCTCAATTTCCATTGACCCATCTAACAGATCACACTGATTAATGTTGACAACTTTCTCTTCAATTTATAGCAATATGTACTAGTCTAGACTATTTTCCAAATGTTCAAAATGAACAAAAATCAAGTGCATTTAAGCCATAGTCAAATGTTTACAATTGATCCCACTTTTCATTAAAGAATCGGTTATGTTGTTGAGAAGGTTTTACTGGTGTGTTCTATGTTGTTTATACTTTGATATACAGGTTTTCATTGACAAACCATTCAATTTTTTTTTTAGCCTTACCCAGAGATTCAGTATACTCTTACTAGTCAATAGGTGTGTTCAGATGAGTATGTAAACATGATTGAGATGCACATATTTTTAAGAAGTATTTTTATAAAATGCAATTGAGGAATTTTTTTCCATGTTTACAACATGGCCTCGTCCAAGCACTCAGGAGGTTGAAAGATTGTGCAAACAGTCACCTGCATCTTCCAGCACTCCATTGACTGGTTAACTATGCCGTGTAAATGATGATAAACTGATGTAACCAGTTCATGCATGTCGATTCTTTTATATTCATCTTTATTAAAGCTGAATGTCATACAGTCTTATTAGGGACCTTAGGCAACCACAACAGCGACAGCAACAAGGACATGGAAAAACAAGAGATCTAATCGGCAGAACAATAGCTCAGCACGTGCGTTTTGAAACTTTGTACATTTCTTAGCCATCCTATGCAAAACAACAACCTGAAATCGCCAAAATTTGCGTTGTCTGCGAACCAAAACCGTGACGGCAAATTATTTTAATTTTCATTTCGAACTCAACGCTACTTTTATACTTCATGCTGAAGTTGAGCTGTGGCGCCATATGAGACAGTAAGCTCCTGCAGCCACATTTGAAATTCTAACTAAGAGTAGAAATTAATTTTTTAATCGTAATCTTCCTTGGCGTTGCCATCCTGACTGCTTAAGGTCCCTATTGATGAAAGGGGAGGGTTTTATGAAACAAACTTACAGACACCATGGTGTTATCCCCTGAATAAAATGGATTCTCTAATGATCACTTTTGTGATACAAAATAACAGTAAAAGATACAAATAGCTTACCAATGCACCTCCACAGCTTTATTATCCAAAATATTATTACATGTTGACCAACTGAATCGCACAAGTTGAGGAAAGCCAAAGACCTTGTCTACTGAATCAGTTAACCACTTCTTGGTGGTAGGATCTATAGCATTAAAGAAGAAATCTTTTACCTAGGAACATATTATGCAGTTCCAGTAATGAGAATGTTAATTGAATAACTAGCATCCCATCAAGGGGAAGAAACATTAGTCTAAGTGGCTTCATACTTCAGAAACTGAGATAGGCTCTGTTGTTTGGTTTGCCACTTGTTTCAAGCACTGTCTTATGCTGAAATAAGAACGAATTGGACTTCCCAGTGGTGAAATATACCCTAAAGATTGTTTCCAACACATAATTTTTCAAAGTTGTTCTAAAGCAGAGCTCCCACATTAAAACATTAGAAAGAAGGAAACTACTCTTAATGGAAAAAATAATTAAAAAAAAAACTTTGGATAGGTCTTACCTGAAGGGTAACCAGAACCATGATCATTATGAAATTCAACATTCTCAGGATATTTCCATTCTTTCAATATTCTGTCCCGTGCAACCTTGTAATCAGTGTGAAAATATAGAGTCAGTAACTCCAATTGTGCACAAAATCCTGATTGACTTAAGGCCAGTGTTAGAAAGAGCTACAATTAAATTTAATTGTTTAAATAATAATAATTATTATAATAATAACAGTTTATTAAACTCTCTTGCCGTAACTTACTGAATTAATGAGTTATAATACAGTGAAAACTTAATAAGATCAACTATGTACATTTCTTTATACATTAAGTACAAGTTAAATACACCACACCAGAACATGCACCACATTTATTAAAAATAATTAAAAGTGAAAAGGTCTTCAGTGCGCTTCATTCTACAAATGTTTTTCATTTTACTTAAATGTATGAAAGGGATCCTCATTAGGATCACTTTCATACATTTCATGAAACTGCAGTACACGTATATTTCATATATTCAAAATGCATTGATTTAATTGTTTGTTTGTTTAGTTTTACCCTCTAGCACTGCACTCATTCCTCAACCTTACAGAATGGAATGATCCATAATTCTGTTCATTATATCATCTTGTTGCTTTAACACATTAATACATTAATACATGAAAACCTGTTTAGAAAACGAATGTCCTATCAAGTGCATCATCACCTTTGCACAGATACTCGCAGCACTGACCACAGGGAACTTGGCATCAGCCTTAGGAGCCACAGTTATCTTGATTCCGGGAAAAATCTTTTGAAGTTTGTCTTGGTACTTCTCTGCTACTCCTACAGTGTCTACATAAATCTAAAGTATATTCCAGAGTTATAGAACTTTTTTATTAAGCTGGTTTATTTTAAAACTGAGTTAGAGTTATTCTAGAGTTCAATGATGCAAGGATAACTGGATGTTACCAAACATTGTGTAGGTAATAAAGAGGTTCTTTTGTTTTTGCTTATTGTACAGGCCACCTAGGTCACTTGATAATTTCACAAAGCATACTTTAGAAGTAGGTTTCAGGAATTAGAAACACATTCTATTACAATGACAAGAAAATTGTTATCAAAAGAATTAAGGTGAAAATATCCTTATGTAGAAGAACTGGTACTCAAGGGACATCTTCTAAACCAGGAAAAGTATTCCCTGGATATAGGGGTCCCTTACAAATACTTAGGGGAAATTTGCTTCTAACTGGTCCAAAGTTTGTGTTCCTTATGTAGAGATGTAAATATAGTTTTAATAGTATACTGAACAAAAAGAACTGTTAGACAAACGTGAAAAATTAAACTAAGGTACATTAAAGCCATAACATAACTTGTATGTCTACCTCACCTCATGTACATTAATGCCATTTGAGAGAAGAAGGTTTATTAGTCCAATGGCTGTGTCATGAGATATTTCATTCAGGCTGTATTTTGTTCTGGAGGTTAATAGAATACAACTTTAATTCAAATGGATATGAAAAATGGCTTATTTTCAGCTGCCATGAAAGAAATAAGAATGTACTTCATCTTGCCGTCTAAGTCCCCATAATGATCAAAATTTCAGTCCCTCCAATATCATGCATGTCACATACAACCCTTGCCTCTAAGAGTGACTAGCATCTAATTTCTCCTTACAGTATCACCCCTGAATTACACATTAAGGTTGCAGGAGTAAAGGAAATGATCACCAACTAAACAAACTCTTGATTGTGAAACAAATTCTCCTTATCCACACCCAAGGAAATGCATTGAGAACAGTATGGAGAATATACATGCTGATGTTAGGGTGTAAAGGGCTAAGGCCTAGTTCACCATTGCATTCTCTGTAGCTTATAAGTAGAACATCAGAGCATGGACCCATACTTTTTTCTTTGTCTCACATTTGTGACAACACCAATAATTTTTTGTTAGTTTGAATTTGCTTTTAGGAGTGTGAAGAGCAAAGAAACATCCAAACCCCATCTTAATATGGCCAGCAAAAAGGGGAGGGGTCTTGCAAGTCATATATTGAAAGCTGAAGTTAGTGGATCTCTGAGGGACAGAGGTTTCTCCAAAAAACACCATGTTAATTTTGCCACATTTTACATCCATTTGTCTTTTAGAGTGATTTATGGATATGGGAAATACACTGCTAGTTACATTCATCAATTAGAAAATAATTTGACAAAAAGTAGTCAAAGCTGCATAGTTTTGACATTTAATCCATGTCAAGTCCAGTGCAGAACTAGTGATGTAAATGTAAGGGAAGGAACTCCAGTCTAATGACCCCACTTTACAACAAGCACTGCAAGTCTTAAGGAACATAGAGGAAACAAGTCCAATCTAATGATGCTAAGTTATAGAAAGCCCAGCAAGTCTTTTGCAACTTGCTGCATCAGGGTCTCGGAGTATGGGGCGAGAGTACCATATAACCCGAGACATTAATTATGCATTCAGACTGGTAGACTTTGTTTTTAAAGTTTTGTCCTGAGAGACAAAGAAGTGGAATGCATAATTAATGTATGGGGTTATAAATTATGGTACTCTTTCTGAGTATGGTGTTCTAGCATGCAACCACATGTTACGCCATTCCTGATATGGAGATTTCCTCTAACTGGAGAATAACTGTTGTTTCTTAGGAAATGAGATATGGTTGTTGTAATCTTTAGTCCCTTCTACTCATTGAGAATGATTAAATAAAGGTAATTCACCTTCTAAGCATACTGTTTGACAGGTAATTAGGTGATAGAATATCAGTTGCCCAGCCAATGAACTCCTTGTTTTCATCAATGATTTTAAACAGTTCCTCGCGCTGTTCTTCTGTAAGTGTTTTAGAATCTAATCAAAAAGAAAATCAAAACGGCTTTTAGAAAACCTTCAAAAGGGGAAAATGAACTAAATTTGTTGATACTTTCTCGAATTGTTACACCAAAGATTTATCAGCGTACCTGCTACTCCAAGATTTTTTACTTCTTCTGATTTCGACAACGGAAAATAACATATTCCGTAAACCATCGGCCCTACATATTTATGGGAAAGATAAAAATTCCTTAAGTTTGTAAACCAAAGTTGGTTATGGCTTCGAGAAAATGCCACAAGTAGCTACGTTTTACCTAGGACAGGTCCTCGCCCTGCTTCATCAATGCCAACACAGCATGGCTCATTTAACGTTACTTCTGGTACCACAGACTTAAGGGTGAAATTTTGTGAATTATCTCGAAACGAACTGAGGTCCATTTTGTATCAACTTGTACGTGAAGAATGTCTGAGGACACTGTATTTCGCGCGCAATCGATTAATATTGAAGTCGAGGCTGAGGACGACTTCACGACGGTCAATTACGAACTTTTACGAAAATATGACGGACAATGCCGAAGGTTTATTTTCCGGAACTACCGCCTACAGCGCGCGGGTTTTCATCACACAATTTTGAAATAATCAAGGCAGGATTTTAGTGTTAACTCTCGTTTGGAAAACATTGCCTGGTTGTGGAAAAAATGATGCCTTGTGAAGAAGAAAAAATTTTTCTCTTATGCAAAAAATACGACAAGATGAAACCAACCGTTCACGATGTCATGAAAGATGCCGAGAAAATCCAGAAAAACTTTACATCCGCTGGCGTTCTTCTGAATCTTGAGTGTAGACTTCTAACAGCAGTGGCAAATCATCCTTGTTTTCTTCCTGAGAATCCTCTTAATGCTGAAGTACAAGTTAATTCGCTGCTCCCGTACCTGTCCTCTCCCTGCCCTTGGGTTCGATCCATGGCATGTAGCTTGCTTAGAGTTTTTACATCGCGATTGGATCCCAAAGGGCCGCACATAGAAACGCAAGGTGAGGAAAATAAGACATACATACATACATACATACATAGCCTGGATATAGGGGTCCCTTACAAATACTTAGGGTAAATTTGTTTCTAACTGGTCCAAACTTTGTGTTCCTTATGTAGAGATGTAAATATAGTTTTAATAGTATACTGAACAAAAAGAACTGTTAGACAAACGTGAAAAATTAAACTAAGGTACATTAAAGCCATAACATAACTTGTATGTCTACCTCACCTCATGTACATTAATGCCATTTGAGAGAAGAAGGTTTATTAGTCCAATGGCTGTGTCATGAGATATTTCATTCAGGCTGTATTTTGTTCTGGAGGTTAATAGAATACAACTTTAATTCAAATGGATATGAAAAATGGCTTATTTTCAGCTGCCATGAAAGAAATAAGAATGTACTTCATCTTGCCGTCTAAGTCCCCATAATGATCAAAATTTCAGTCCCTCCAATATCATGCATGTCACATACAACCCTTGCCTCTAAGAGTGACTAGCATCTAATTTCTCCTTACAGTATCACCCCTGAATTACACATTAAGGTTGCAGGAGTAAAGGAAATGATCACCAACTAAACAAACTCTTGATTGACAAACAAATTCTCCTTATCCACACCCAAGGAAATGGATTGAGAACAGTATGGAGAATATACATGCTGATGTTAGGGTGTAAAGGGCTAAGGCCTAGTTCACCATTGCATTCTCTGTAGCTTATAAGTAGAACATCAGAGCATGGACCCATACTTTTTTCTTTGTCTCACATTTGTGACAACACCAATAATTTTTTGTTAGTTTGAATTTGCTTTTAGGAGTGTGAAGAGCAAAGAAACATCCAAACCCCATCTTAATATGGCCAGCAAAAAGGGGAGGGGTCTTGCAAGTCATATATTGAAAGCTGAAGTTAGTGGATCTCTGAGGGACAGAGGTTTCTCCAAAAAACACCATGTTAATTTAGCCACATTTTACATCCATTTGTCTTTTAGAGTGATTTATGGATATGGGAAATACACTGCTAGTTACATTCATCAATTAGAAAATAATTTGACAAAAAGTAGTCAAAGCTGCATAGTTTTGACATTTAATCCATGTCAAGTCCAGTGCAGACCTAGTGATGTAAATGTACGGGAAGGAACTCCAGTCTAATGACCCCACTTTACAACAAGCGCTGCAAGTCTTAAGGAACATAGAGGAAACAAGTCCAATCTAATGATGCTACGTTATAGAAAGCACAGCAAGTCTTGTGCAACTTGCTGCATCAGGGTCTCGGAGTATGGGGCGAGAGTACCATATAACCC